TCGGATAGAAGGAGGAGGCGTAGACTGTGGGACAAATTCCTCCTCTCTGGCTCTGCCAATAATTACGAAGGGTATAAAAGCCAGCAAAACCTCTGCAACAGTGCAACAAAGAATAAGCTCCGACATTTCGAAGAGCAGCTCTCAATAGCTGCGAAGACCGCCCCAAAGCGAATCCTTGCATAAGTGAAGCGACGCCTGAAGCCGGCAGGTGACGAGCCAGTGGTGGATGGCCTGCATGGACAGCCTCTAACCTCCAGCACTGAGCATGCGTCCGCGTTGTTGGCCCACTTCACTTCTGTATTTGCGAATGACCAGGTGTCTGCTTCTACTTGGACGTGTACCGCTTTTACCGAACTCGACAGTCTGGATTGCAACGTTGAGGAAGTATGTCAACTACTCGCCCGCCTTGACGGCACCAAACCTACCGGACCTGGTGAGCTTCATCCACTGATTCGCAAGTCAGTTTGGACCATCATCTCTTCTGTCGTGACTGACCTTTTCAACAGATCGCTGTTCGAATGTTCGTTTCCAGTTGACTGGAAATGTTCGGGGAGGGAGCCTATTCCAAAAGGCGGCGACCCTAACAAAGTAGACAACTACAGGCCAATTTGTTTGACACCCATTTTATCAAAGGTTGCTGAGAAAATCGTGAAGAAGGGATTGCTTCAGTTGCTACAGTCAAACGAGGTCCGGACGCCCGCACAGTACGGTTTTATGCAAGGCCGCTCATGCATTACGAACCTGCTTATGACGAGGCATGTATGGTTGAAGTCAATAAGCAAGGGAAGTCCGTCGAAGTGATATTCATAGATTTCAGTAAAGCGTTCGACAAGGTCAACCATGCGGTTTTCCTTCACAAACGCAGAATGTGTGGTGTCGGTGGTTCACTGCACCGGTGGATCCGCGACTTCCTTGTTGGACGAAAGTGGAGGAAACAGGTCGACGACCATCTAACTGACTGGTACCTCTGTACAAGTGGCGTGCCTCAACGCACCGTGCTGGGGCCCACTCTGTTCCTGATCCCCATCAACGACCTACCCCAGCTTCTCCAGTCGCCGTGTGCCTTGTTTGCGGACGACATGAAGATCTGGAGAGAAACTGACTCTCCCGACGATTGTGGCCTACTTCAGCAAGACCTCAACCGCCTATCCACATGGTCCGCAGAAGTTCTTCTCCCGGTCAACCCAGCCAAGTCTGTATCTATGAGTCTGCGGAAGCGTGCTGACGGCCGAAACTACACCCTTGACGGCCAACCGCTATATCCCACACTCTCCATGAAGGACCTAGGTGTACTCTCGCGCTACGATTTGAAGTCCGTGGGCATTACGAACAGGCTATATCGTAATGGACTGCGCACGCTTTGGGCGCTCAAACGTAACTTCGGCACATGGCCTGAAGACGTTGCCACTCGCCTCTTCTCTTCCATCATTAGACCAATGCTAGAGTACGGTTCGCCCGCCTACTTTCCGATTATCCGAGGCGAAGTACAAAAGATCGAACGGGTCCAACACGTTGCTACCAAGCACATGCCGAGTTTACGTGGCTCGGGGTATGAAGACCGGTGCGAGAAACTAAGGCTCTACATCTTGTCCTACTGTCGGGTGCGAGTCAACCTCATTATGACCTGCCGTATTCTGCATCTCGGTGACTTCGCAATGCTAAGGCCAATGCTGCACTTATGAGGGCCATGCATCACCGTGGACACAGATACAAACTCGTCGTGCCGGATGTGAAACGTGTTCCCCACCCACTGTGCTTCGAACGGAGAGTGGTAAATATTTGGGACAGTTTACCTGAACACGTGATGGAGACAACATCTGCGCAGCAGTTCAAAACGTTGTTAGATTTATATTTTACCAATATTCGTTTCAGAGAACAATTGCACACTTACGATGACACATCACGTTTGTGAGTCCTGCAATATCATGAGTCAGATATTTTAATTGTTACATGAGAACGACAACGATATTTACGGCTGTCAACTTTTATAACGTTGTTAATCATATTTTGAAAGTTTTATAGAATTGATTTCTACTTGCTCTATAATACAGTATTCAGTATTCAGAAGTAACTCGAGTGAATCACGAAAGGGAAAACTGCGGTTGCGCGACACTTTAGGACACGTTGCCGAAACCTGGATCGCGAGGGCGTACATGAAATTTTTGGGCCCTTTTACTCGCGAGGACCAGTGTTGCTAATCACTCTCAACCAGTGGCCTGGTGGATACGATGGTTAATTTGCGGTCGTCTGGTCACTGGTTCAAACATGCTAGGTGCGTTAGCCTTGGGATATCCCTAGCGTACTCTCGAATGGAGATGGTTACATGGGGGAGAAGCGTTACTGCGAACTACCGACGCAATTCTGATGTTTTTAATTCGCTGTTAATCACACGCTGGTGTAGATTTGAGGGGATGATGCGAATCGGAGCAACTTAGGGTTGTAATCAGACTGTGGTCCGTCCACGGCATACGCAGTCTTTGAGCTTCGCACTCTCATGTATGAACTACTTTGTAACCGTCGGCAGGTGTCAGAGAACTCATGTGGACCGTAGTCTGCTAGTCATTAACTTTGTGGGATGGACATCGTGTGAACGCTGTAGTGAGTTAATCGTACTGCTTTTCCCTTCTAGAGAGTAGCGAAAGGAAGAAGCTCGATCTGATTTTCGGAAGGGATTTAACACAGATACAGTCAACTGATCGTTTCCTTTTTATCCTTTACGGTTTTCATCCTGGTCATCACTTGAATGTGATTGCTCAATTACTTTTAGCGACTGAAACCATTATTCCTTGTTCTAGCATTGCTGCATACCCATCGTGCTTGACTAAATCCAACGTATAAAACTTCATACACTTGATAACCGTTAAATAGGCAGTCGTTGATGCGTAGGCCGAAACAAAGCGCACTGATGTGTGTGGTTCTAGCTCCTCATCCCGCTTGGGTGGGGTGCGGCCACTGCACACAGTGTAGTGTGGGATGAAACCAAGCAGTCAATCTCATTGTCAATCAACTGAAACGAAGCTTGCTCTCCTTAATGTCCATTACTCCTACTAGTAGGATGTGATAATTCGCTTTGGAAAATGTACTGACAACCTCCTCGATTCGTGTCCTTTGGCATTCGTAATGTCTCAGAACACTGCAGGCTTTGCATGGTGCGATGTATGTGAGGGGCAGTTCTAGGTAAAACCATAAGTTGAGTCGTTAAAGTGACCTGCATATAGCTGTTTTGGCTCTTCAGATGTCGCAGGCACGGGGATCTGTTTCGACGTCACAACTAACTGTTTAGTTGCATTAACAAGTATGCTGGCCTGGGGCGGGTTCCCGAAATGCATAGAAGCTGCTGCTTCGCCACTCCACGATCGCAAACCAAGCAGTGAGTAACATAGCAGACATATTGTGCTTGGTTCATCGTTAACTTTCATTTCGTGCTGTATAAGGTTTTGTGGAACTTTTCCACAACTCTTTTCCCTACACACTAATCGCGGCGAGGCGGATGCCGTGCCCGCAAGCCGTTCCAATGAGCCCAGTGGATGGATAAGTAGACCAGTCAAGGGTTAGTGACTGACTGAACTTGATATTTACAAGTCTACTACTTTGGACTCACGAATCTATTGTGATTGTACAGAGGAAACCGCGTTGTCAATTATTCGCTTACACATCTAATACATAACTAGTACCGTCTCCTGGCAAAAGGCCACTGGTCTATGCTCTTAGGTGTCTTTAGGAGTCTTGATTCAGTCCGACCTTGGTTGTTCAGCCCAGGCAAAGAAAGCATCGAACGTGAGCATTCGAAATTTGGGCCTTCTCCGGCGCACATTTGGACGCTTCGATCCATCCGTTTTTCACCAACTTCTAGGTGCATACATACGACCACAAGTGGAGTATGCAATACAAGTCTGGCAGCCGTGGCTGAGGAAAGACCTCTTTGATTTAGAGAAACCTCAACGACGCGCAACGAAGAACGTGAAAGGTTTAGGCCAGTTACGCTACGAAGACAGACTGAGATTGCTCGGGATATTTAGTGGTCAATATCGACGACTACGGGGAGATTTGATTTCGGCTTATCAGGTTCTGACAGACCCCAATCATACCTGCCGCCACCTGCTGGAGCTCAGTAAAAACAACAATCTGAGAGGCCATCATCTGAAGCTGGCAGTGCAGTACAGCCGTTTGGAATGTCGACGGAATTTCTTTTCCGTGCGTGTTTGCCAAGCCTGGAATGCTCTCCCAGAATCTGTAGTCAGTGCACCCAACCTGATCGAGTTCAAAAATCGAGTTGATAGTGCACTCACTTCATTGTACTATCTCCCATGGTACAGTCTAATTTTGAGAGATCCAAAATCCATACTTTAAAATAATTTTCCCCACGCAAATTCCAACAGTGAATTTATATTTTGACGCGTCTTACTCAAACACTTTGCCCCATGCGAATTTCTCTTTTAACCAAATACTCCATACCTCATTATCCCCTCCGGAGTTATAGTGGATTATTATTTTGACACTTCAAACTCGGTGAGTCCACAAGCTTGTAGTGACTCGTTGTTAAACGATTTTTACTGAATTGCTTTCCATTGAATTTTTCACACTTCTATGATTTTCGCACTGATCACCCTACGGGATTTGTCAAGCTTTAGCTTTTATACCCGCATAAATCCATTGTTCCATAAATTCCATTGTTCCATTGTTCTGAAGTGTAACAACCTCTCCTGATTGCGTAAGATGTGGGTCGTTGCTCAGCCCAGCTACTATGCTGTCCAAATAAAAGCAAGAGTTTACGGATAATTGACAAGTGTACTTATCATTTATATGGCACTAAAGTCCCTACCAAATTACTTCATCTTTCCGGAAGGATTTGCCATTGTGCAAAATAGTATGTAGTTTTGCAGTAGTATGTGCGAGTTAACTCAAGGAAACCTGGCATTCGTTCATACCGCTTCACTTTTACCCTCTTGCTTCGATGCCCCAGTTCAATGTCCAATTATGTGTGCTTTGTGCATCCTCAGGATCTGCTGAGGAGTATATGTGATTGCGATGAGGGTTACACCGGTCCTCAATGCGATCAGCCCACTGGAAGTTGGTCACAGTGGTCGGATTGGAGTGTCTGTGAACCCTCCTGCGGTCCAGCGAGGCACCGAAGACGACTGCGAATTTGCATGTCAGACGACGAGGCGCACTGTATCGGTCCGGTGGAAGAGGTAAGTGGCCAGGGTGTCATCAGAAACGCAAACGTTTATCAGCTATTGGAAGTCCACCTTTGTGAACTTACTGCTGGCTAAACATTGAAGTAATGATTTTATCCTCCTTTGGTAATCGGCTGGCTGCCACCCCGAAGTTAACTAACAAAAGGTTTCTATCACATATGAAAGCGGGAAAATTCACGCTGCAAAGGCATCTGCTGATGCGTACACATGAAAATTACCTAACCGGTACATTCAACAGGCACGTCACGTCATCCACACTTCGGATTAAGGAGGCAACACTTGGCTCAATGACGGTGTCGTTTCTTCTATTTCGACTCATGGGTATAAACAGAAAACAGATTGCATTTTTGAAAACCAGAAGAAATGTGAATGCACTTTTGTATAGTTTTTCTAGTAGCCTAATTTTTCTGAACCAGTTACATGGATTTTGCACTTTGCTGCTCACTCGGAATTACTGTTATGAATAGCGTGTTACCGTTACACTGTATCGTTTCCGCTAGGCCATACTACGGCTAGTCACCCTTACCTAAGGCCACGCTGAATACGCTCTCCAGGTTGAGCAGCCCTCGTTAATTTTGAGACTCTGCAACCAATAGCGTGCTCCATCTACCTTACCAAGTTCAAATCGAGGCCATAACAGTTTTCACCAGACAGTAGCGTCATCTACGATTATCATCAAATTCATCAGCAGCAGTACATCAGTCATTTGAACTGATGCTTCGTTGCCATACAACCACAACGACGTGCGAAAGGAAGAATAATATGAGTGAGAAAGAGGAGCTAGCGTAAAGCGTTAATGTCCTAAGCAAACATTCAGGCTCAAAGCAACTTCACCTCGTGTAGACACCGTACCGTCACAAACACCTGGCTAACGTGCAAAGATAAGGCGGCATCGGCGAGACAGCTTCCTTGCGGCTTTCACTGCTCCGCGTCATAATCAGCCATTCCCCCACAGAGAACTCAGCACCGAACACAAGTTAAACAAGCAATCTGAATGGGAAACGACAGCAGACGTGCCAAGCCATGCACAGGGCGGGGCACGTGAACCCCGGGCTGGAAGGCGAGACGAACCAACGCTTACTTGAAATTTGCTACTTGTAGTCTATCTCGTCAAGCGATTGGATTCTACCACCGGATGCTTTTTTGGCTGTGTTATTAGTTTGGCGATATATTGGTGAACCGAGTTTCCTCCAGTTACTTTTGTGCACCATCGGACCATGCTTCAGTTTATTCGTGAAGTTACTTACTCGCGGCAGTGCTTAAATTTTGCATCATTTGTTGCAAGCAGGTGCTGAATTTCGGTCCTCTTCTGCATGAGCGAATGCTATATCAGCATCTTTGGCTAGGTGTCCTTACATGTTTGGTTGTTCCGTATTGACTCTTTGTGGCCGCATCGGTTATGGACAAGTTGCGTGCGTTTCAGTCGTCAAATCTATTGTGTCGGACGCTGCGAGAGTAGTCCAATCTGCTGTAAGGAAGAACAAACAAGTCGAGTGCGCAGCAAGTTGGAGTTTATTGGAGACAAAGACTTGAGCCAGACGTGAGTAACATTACACTGCACAGTCTGCACTAGTTGTGTCTATTTCGAGTGTGGGTATTGATTTAAAATCAACACTAGTTCGTTGTTTAATTCTTTCCCGGTGTGTCACCAACTGAACGTTGGGCATCCGCTGGGTATGACCTTGCATTCAGCTCGTTCCGGTCTTTGGAGCAGGTGAGTGAATATCCACGATTCAATGAGCAATGAACAATAATTTATCACGGGATAAAAGCAAGTGCTTGACATATCCCGTAGGATGGTTGGGGTACATATGATGAAATCAAAGTAGATGTGGGTCATCTACCGAGCGTCTACAGAGATGAAGGCGTTGAGAACTAACTTCAGTGTAAAATACAAATCGGGTGTAAGCATTCAGAAAAACACGATGTGCAGTGGTCGTTGATGTAAAGCGTGAGAAGTTAACTACGAGCGCTCACTCATGCTCCGCCTTCGTGGGGCACATGTGACAAATTCTGTAGCGGGGCATGATTGGCGTAATCCAAAATGGCGCCATTTAGGTAACAATGTGTTAGTAGCTTAGAGCAACATCCAGTCGTTTTTATGGAAATATCCGAAGTTGGCGAGGATACAACTGAGTAGGGAAGTTCGTTCCAGGATTGGCAAACCCAAAGGGTAAAGTAATTCTGTCGACACACAATTTCAAGTAGTTACCCCTGAACTGCGTGTTGGGGCTAACTTTCTGCAAATGGCACCATAGGTGGTTGGAGTCACTCAATAGTTGGTACGCTAATATGAGATCTCCGCGCAACCTTCGGTAGCCTCCGATGAAAACTCCCAGAAACTTCAGCCTTCGGTAGTAAGAGTGATAGCGCAGGCCCTTTATATTCTTTGTTGCCTTTCATTATGGTCGCGCTTCAACCAAGGTTGCCAAGCTTGGATTGCGCATTCAACGTCAGGGCACATGTAGGAATTGTGCATCATGGGGCAGATTGATGGGACAGTTCTCCCAAATACCCTTCGCCACATGCCGACGTGCTGGTTGTCTCTTTTTGCAGCTATCTCCGCCTGTTTTGAACAGTTGTTGTCGCTCTGTACGCGCACACCAAGGTCACATTCCTGGGAGCTGGTCTGCAATCCGTGTGAACCAAGCCAATACATGAAGTCATGTCTATAGCGCAGTTACACAGTGCGAAATTTGTTTACTTTGAATGGTAGGTCGTTTTGAATTGACCATTTCGACACCTTGTTAAGATTGAACTGGAGCCGTTCGTGGTCGTCCGGTTTTCTGATCATCCGCCATATCTTGATATCATCAGCGAAAAATAGGAAATCGGAAGCAATTCACCTCGCTAAATCGTTAATGAACACTAAAAATAGACGAGGTCCAAGAAACGAGACTTGTGGTACTCCACACGCTACATTGATTGCATCGGACGAGGATTCTCGGACTCACACATCTAGCCATCGTTCTTGGAGAAAATTGCCTCTCCAACTCAGGATTGGTCCCCCAATGCCTCAGTGCCGAAGCTTGTGAAGGAGAATTCCATTGTCTAAGCGATCAAACGCTTTTACGAACTCCAGGCGTATGACATCGACTCCTATATGATCATCAACAGCTTTAGTCCAGCTAATATGTGCGGTTAATATGTTAGTATTACACGAATGCTTTTGACGTAAGCCATATTGCTCTAAGGCCATTAAGTTATGGCCTTTCAGATACTGCATCAGCAATCTGCGATGATTGATTCCATCACTTTGGATAGCACAGGAAGTAGTGTAATTAGACGGTAGTTGGCAGGATCAGTGCAGTTACCTCCTTTATGGATAGGAGTGATGACCCCTCGCTCTCATACTGGTGGAATACAGTTCTCGTCTAGACATCGCTAATAGAAAACAGCCAGTGCTTCTGCTAGATCACTAGCTATCATCTGCAGAGCCTTTGGTCGAATGTTCTCGGCCCCAGGAGAACTGTGGATACGCAAGAATAACAACTACTTCAACACAGCTACCGCAGTGAAGGTGATGTTGTCTAAACCCTACGGTAGAGTAATAGAAACGAGGAGAATGTTTGGGCTCGTTACCTGCTCGAAAGTTTGGGAGTATTGAAGCCGTAGGAGATCAGTTGCTTCCATTGCCGATCGCGTGCACTTATCAGCCGTGACTAGTGCTGGAATCCCCCGCTTTACCTTTCGAAGGCCGTTAACGTGCGTGTACAGAAGTTTGCGGTTGGTGCAGAATCGCTTCATTAACTCCTACTGATGTGTGACCTTGTCCTCACGGACCAGTTTCACACAGAAGTTACGATGTGACACGTACGCACTTCAGGTTTTAGCATTCGGGTTGTCCTTGTGAGCTTGTCACTTATTACCCCTCAAGACATGCACTTACGTGTACTGCTCCTCATAAATGGTTTATGGTCATTTTTACGTTGTAAGGACTTCTGTTCCGATGCGTGCGCCACTAGTGTGCTGAAAGTCCTTGTAAACGTTTCCCAGACAACATCTGGGAGCATTCGGTTAAGAAATTCCAGGCTGTGTCCTTAAAATCCATAGCGAACACATTGTAGTGCGTGACAGTATGCACTTTATCATCCTCCTTTGCAGGGTACTCCGCATATCATATATAGTCAAAGAATAGAGTTACGTGGTCATTTTGACCCAGTGTCTTGCTTGTGACTATCCCGTCTACCATGAGTTCTTCATTAGTGAACACAAGATCCAGTATTAACGGCTTCTTAGCAGTTCGAAATCTGGTGAGAGAGGTTCCGTTGTTGTGCAGAGGGTGGCTAGAAATTAGCTCTTTCAAGTAGGCTTTAAACTGTTCACCATCGGTTGCAGGCAATTGCATATCATGCGTATTAAAATTCTCCAGTCATAAGAATGTGGGCGTATGACTTATATAAAGCAAATTGAAAGACGTGGTTCAGTGTGGAATCCATTTCCAACATTGACTTTGGTGGGCGATAAATCACGGCTAGTAGACATGTGTCATTGTTCTGCAACTGTAAGCAGCACCAACACGAATCAAGAATGCAGGCTTCCGGATAAACGATAACTTCACATCGGAGCTTTGGATTTTACTAAAGTATCACACCACCACCCGTTCCATTTCTATTGCTCCGAAGTAGCGACATATCGGGTAAATTGATCTCAGAATCGGTTATCTCGAGATTTAACCGGGTCTCTGTAATCGTGACGAGGTCACGCGGTTGTGAGGCATGGAGTTCTTTAAGTTTGGCCAACATACTTAGAAGATCTTGGACGTTCGTGTACATAGAGGTAGTGTATTGTTTGTTAAAGGTGCGTTGATGGATGTTAATGTTTTGTTTGCTTTTAAGCCGACTGTTAAGTGGCCTGTCTTTAACCCTTTTTGGTTTACGAATTTCGGTCAAATTGCATGGCATCGCTGAGCGTACTGGAACAGAAGTTCCGCTCATGCTGCGCTCTGTCCAGTTATGTTCCGTGGGTGCTGTTGTGTCGCTCTCTCCGCAGGA